CTCTGAGATTTTCTTGATAAGTTTGTATCTGCTTATCTAGATAACATTCTCATCTTTATCAATGAATTCAGAAAAGAATATCAAGAGTATGTATGAAAGATATTATAATAGCTACAAGAAGCAGAACTACTGATAGATATTGATAAGTATGATTTTAAAGTCAAGAGTATCAAGTATCTGAGTTTTATTATAGAAGCTGATAAGAGAATTCAAATAAATTCTGAGAAAGTCTCTATCATTCTTGAATGAAAAGCTCTGTATACTGTGAAAGATATATAAAGCTTCATCAGATTTGCTAACTTCTATCAGCAATTTATATAAAACTTCTCAGATATTATGAGATCACTTACAGACCTCACTAAGAAAGACTTAATATTTCAATAATCAGTGAATACTGAAGCTGTATTTATACAGATGAAGAAGATGTTCATTAATACTTCTTTGCTGATAATATTTAATTCTGATTATGAGATAGTTATTAAAGCTGATTTCTCTGACTATATAATAGAAGAAGTGATATTATAATATAATAATAAAGAGATTCTACAATTATGTGTTTTTATATCTAAGAAACTAAGTCTCACTGAATGCAATTATAAGATCTATAATAAGAAACTTCTCATAATTATACACTGTTTAGAAGAATAAGACTCTGAACTCTGAAGTATCTCTGAATTTGAGATAGTCATAGATTATAAGAATCTCAAATACTTTATAACTATCTGTAAACTTACTGAATAATAGATATGATAATCTGAGTTCTTAAGCTGCTTTCATTTTATAATACACTATCATTCTGATAGCTAGAACTTAATGATAGATACTCTCTTATAATGAGAGTAAGATATATTATCTAATGTAACAGATACTCACTGAATGAACTGAGAGTATCAGCTCTTGAATCTGAAGATACTAGTTGATCAAGATGAAACAGTTCATGACACTATATATGCTTTCTCAGTTAGAACTGTTATTGATATCTCTACTTTCTCTACACTGAATGAACTGTGATATACAGCAGTCTAGATAAATGAACTTCTTCAGATTCTCACTGAAGCAGTATATTAAAAAGCACTTTAATTTCTCTCAGAACTATGTATAAGAACTGATATCTCAGAATGTTTAATTGATGATAATAACACTCAACAATTCTGTAAATGATGCTGAGTTTCTCACTTCAAATTCTTACACACTCAGATAATGCAAGAGATACATGATTCATATATAACTAATTATTCAGGTTATGAATAACTGTATAAAATGATCTTCTGAGAGTTCTACTAACTTGAGATATTAAACAGTATCAGATACTTTGTCTGAAACTGCAATTACTGTTTTTCTGTTATCTTATAAAAGAACTGTAGAAAAGGTTCATTGAAATCACTTAATATCTGTGATAGAATCTGATAAGATATAGTAATTAACTTCACTATTAATCTATCTGAGAGTAAGAGTTGTAGAAACATTCTGATTATTGTGAATCAACTGAGTAAAGATATAATATTGAAATCTTGTGATAAGATGAATACTGAATAAGTCACTGAAGCTTTTCTACAGAGTCTGTTCTATTAGATATATGAATTACTGAGATCTATAGTATCAAATCAGAGCTGTCAATTCATGAGCACTCTCTGAACAAGAATCTGTCAAGTTCTCAAGATTATACACTATCTATCAACTGTTTATTATCTTGAGATCAATGATATATCAGAATGAACAATTCAGATCATGAAGAATTATCTTTAAAAGTTCTGTAACTACTTATAAGATGATTAGTATAATCTTCTTTTACATGCAGAGATTACTATCAATAGTTAAAATACTATTTTAACAAATATAGGTCTGTTCTTTCTTACATATGAATATCATATAAAAGTGTTAAATCTTCTAGAGATCACACAGTTCACACTGAACTCTCACAGTTCAATTCAGATCACTGATAATATAGTAATAAAACTCTGAGATGTCTGTGATTGAGCAGAGGTCTTTATGATAACTGTGAAACAAGATCAAGAGAATTAAATCAATACTCACTGAGATCTCACTGAACAATATAAGATAGAAGATCTGATATAATTGAATCTTAAGAATATACAAATCACACATTCATCTTGTACACTAGATTACTGTCATATCAAGTATAAAGTGATAGAAGTTCTAGATAGTCATAACTACTGTCTTAACATATTATCAGAGATTTATAATGTATTTCATACAAGCTTGCTTTACTGCACTATCACTGATCTGTTCTCTTCTCAACTGACTTCTGACTGACAGTTATTAAACATCATAGAAGAAGATAATGAGCTTGAGTGAGAGATTAAGAATATTCTCAATAAGAGACTCTGTAACTGTAACTGACAATATCTTATGAAATGAGTCAGCTATGATTAACTGATCTGAACTCTGAGTTTCACATTATCTAAAACAGTGACTCTTGACTGATAAGAACTGCTTCTGAAAGAGGGGACTAATGTGGTGAGCTGCGCCTGATCAATCATATAGACTATTCTGTTACACTTCACAGATTTCAACCACTTCATTCTTGAACATGTACACTTCAATTCTCAGCCATTCTCAATCACTGATCCTCAGCTGCTATGAACACGTGTATATCATTCTCAAACACATACACTTCAATTCTCAGTCATTCTTGATCACCGATCCTCGGCTGCTATGAATGCATGTATATTCTCCCGCCCCGAAGTTCCACTGTGTACATCACCACATATGTGTATAAATATTCACCTTGATTGCTGATTCTCGCACTTTCTCTTTCTTTTCTTCTCTACTGTTTTTATCTTTGTTATATAAGACCTATAATATTATACTGATCTATTCGGCGTAGGCCCCTTATAAAAAGCTTGATATTTTTTCTTAAAAGCTTGATATTTTTTCTTAAAAGAGTTTACTATATATGATTCATTCTGAAACTTATATTCTAAGGTTGAAATTTTGCTACACTTCTTGTTTTAATATAGTTGAAGGCTTTAAAAACTTCTTTTTCTTATATTTCTTCAAGAAATTTGTTCTGATAATCTGTTTTCGCTCTTTTAATATCTGAAAAATATTCATTTCTGATAGTTTTGAACTCTTTATCAGATATTAAGTTATTCTTTCAATCTCTCTTAGTAGTGATTAATTGTTTTCTTTTAGAAGTAATATTCTCATTTCATCAAGATTTAAAATACTCAGAAGACTTTTTCTTTGAAATATTTTCTCTAATACTTGTTAGAAAAATAGATGTAATTAGCTTTACTCTATTCTTAAGTATTTCATTTGAGATATCTTGATTTTGATTTCAATAGAGCTCACTCTGCTTTTCAGATTTCAGCTGCTTTACACTTTCTTTAACTGCTTTTCAATCAGCTTTTTCAAAGTTATACTGATTAGAGAGAAGAGAATTTTCACTTATTTATTTTTCACTCAGTTCAATATTAAAGTGAATAATCTCATGATCTGATTCTGAGATCTTATTTAAATTAATAAACCAGTTTATAAGTCTTTTTTTAATTAGATTTTATAATATGAAAGTTAGATCTATAATAGATTTCTGTTTCATATCTTTTCTAAAGCATGTTTTTTCATCAGACATGTTAACTAAATCTATTAAATGCTTAAAAGTTTATTCAACTAGTTTATCTGCTCTTACTGCTCTTTTGCATTCTGAAATTTCATCAGAGATGATATGCATTAAAATCTCCTGTAATTATATAGTGTTTTAATGAAGTTATATTCAAAAATTCTCTATTAATTATTCAGGTATTGTTATTTTCTTTCAATGACTTTTTATTATAGATATTTATAAGTTGTATAGTATTAAACTCATTCTCTTTATCTATAATATCACTCACTAGAATATCAGAGTCAGATATAATATTAAATCTTAGATTAAATTAATATCTTGCTCTTTTTCTTTCATAAATCACTACTCTTGATTTTATCTCAGATTTTCCAGGTAAAAAGCAGTAGTAGCTTGAATGAGAAATGATATACTTTTACTCAGTATCAAAGTTTGATTCTTAAAGAAGTATAAAATCAACCTTTTATTCAAATACAATCTGAAGATAAGAATAAATGCAATTTAAGTTTCTATTTACATTGTTTTGAATAAATGTGATTTTTGAAGAGTTTTTACACTTTTTTTGTTGTTTTTATTGTATATTCATACTAAAAGAGAGTAGAGATAGAGTAGAATCTAATCACTATTATCAGATAGTAGATTATAACTATTTTAAAAGACAGGAATTTCAACTGCTTGCATTCTTTCTAGTTTATTAACAAAGTTATTTCTCAATTCTTTAATCTTAACAGATGTATAATTATTTATAATTAACTCAGTAAAATACTTGAATATTTACAGTAAATAAAGAACACTCTGAAATATATAAGATATTTCTACTATTAACATTCAAGCTGTGTTAATCAAATACAGATAACTGTATATATATTAGTAGACTGACTATATAATTATATCTGAGATTAGAATCAGAATATTTGATAATCTTATTATTAATTTAATTAATTGTATTATACATTGTTAAGATTAAATAGTAGTCTTATACTATTTCAGTGAAACTTACTATCTACTCTTATTACATTTTTTAAATAAGATTATAATTTTCACTTCTTAATTTAAATTTATTTTATTACTTTAAATAACTTTAAATCTCATTTAAGTATTATTAAAAATCATTACTTTTTAAAAAATTAAAAATAGTCTAAAAGAAAGTTTAAAATGTCTAAAAATAGTAACTTTATACAAAGAATGAGATTTAATAAGATTAAATAAGATTACTTTCTTATTTTTTCTAAGTTATAGTCTCATTTTGAGATCTGATAAATAGTCACTTTGCATGTTTTTTTTAATAATTAGTCCCAGCAGGATTCACGCTAAGAAATGTATGAGACCAGATCAAATGAGATCAAATGTGAAATTCATGATCCCGGCGGCCAGTCTACACATTGACAAGTCATTACTTCATCTCAAATTGAGACATATCTGTGTGAGTCTTTAGACAGAAATAGAACATGAGAGAATTCTGCTACTGATATTCACATTGTGCTGAGTGAGTGCATGCTCATCAACATGTCATCATCCTTGACTTGGAAATGAGCCATAGGCCCCTGTGCGGACCTCTTGAATGAAAGAATGCCTTGAAGGATTGAAATGAGGCAGATGTAGACAACCGCCAACGCCACAGTAGACAATTTCGGGGCGGGCCATCCAGGCAGGCGAGGACATGCCACTGGTCACCTTGCACTCTCCAGGAAGATCAGTGATTTACGCTCGCGATGTTAACCATGTTGATGGATGCTAGTGTCCCATCGTAGTAGCATGAGTGGGGATAGAAGGGGGCGAAGCACTCATTTTGTGAACAGTCATCTCTGAGAGGGCAAGAGGCCGGAGTGGTGGCGTCCGACCTTAGGGGACCGAATTGACGAGGAGCGCAGGACATGGGAAGGAGATGTTGTCAAGCGATGCACCAGCAGGATTATATGGTTGAAGGGGGTCTGTGAAGGCGGAGACGTGCGGCAGTTCCTGTTGTGGGATAGCGCGGGAAGCCATACCTGATCAGGGTGACGCTAAACCACTACGACGGACGCGCGCTAAACCCAACATTGGGGGTTGCCGATAACGCCCCTGTGTAATTCGAAATTTTCATCTTATTCTTATTCTCTATTTATTTCTTCCTTTAAACTCCGAGATATTAGATTCGAATAGATCGATAGAAGAAGTATGTTATGTAGAAAGGAGGAAGGAAAGCTGGATGAAATGGAGGACACGGAAAATATGGTTTCCATCAAAAACTGGAGTGACGTCCGCAAAGCTCCCTCATGTACAGGCGTAATGTGTGGTGATGGTCTTCGTCCATTCCCACCTTTGGTATAAGAGCCATTTCGCGCTTTCTTTCCTCTGACCTCATTTCTATCACTGCTTGATTGATCTCTGCTCTGTCACGAAGTTCAAATACGGATGCGCTAGAGCCTATCCATGGGTTAGTTTGCTTCTTCCGTTTTCTTCTCTGGGAATCCACCGATATATTTCGCATCCCAATTCAACAAAAAAAAAAAAAAAGAAAAAAAAAAAGAAAAAAAAAAGAAAAAAAAAAGGCGAAAAATCCAGGATGCTTTTTGATGTTCTGCCACATACCTCAGCAGCCGACAGCCTCTCGCCACTCTCATAGCGCACGAGTTTACTGACCAGATCGCGCCCGTTGGATGACGCGCCGTTGAGTATCTCCGCCCAGGGTTTCGCCGGATACTCTTTAAACTGTATCTTGCCCCAGTCTGGGAGGTCCTTGTTCGACTAAATTTTTTTTGGTTGTTTCGCAATTGAATGTTTTGTTAGCTTACAATTTCGACAGAGAAAAGAAATATATAGGAAAATAACGGTAGCAAGAGGGAGAGGTGGACAAGGGAAACGCAAACTTACAGGCCACGATTCAGCATTCGGTGTCCCCAACTTAACAAAAATGGACTGCACCAACGCCAATTCACTCCCCAGCTCCCCCGCGTCAAACAGATGCCTGTGGTCTATATCCACCGCCTCTGCAACCACGCAGCCAGCCGCCCAAAGGTCCAGACTGGTACCATACCGTTTATCCCCAAACAGAATCTCAGGAGGCCGGTAGCATGCCGTTCCTACATCCGTGATTTTCTTATCCGCGGCTTCCGAGTCCTTATCGGTAGGCGACCAGGCGATCCCAAAATCGGCCAGATATGCCGGGCCGTTGGAGTTGCGTAGGAGGATGTTCGACGGCTTGACGTCCCGATGGATGATCCCCTGCGCGTGCACGTATGCGAGCGCCCGAAATAGATCGCGCAGATGTAGCCTTATTTGATGCGTCGAGAGCACCCTTCGGTGCATGAGGTCGTCAAAGTGCAGTGGTATGAACGGGAAGACGAGAATGAAGTGGCCGTCCGGTTGGGTGAAGGTGTCGAGTAAAGGGATGACGTTGGGGTTTGAGAGGGCGCTGAGGATCCGCGCTTCGCGTTTTGAATCGTGCGGCGGCGACATTATATGCGGCGTTGTCAGCTTTAGGGCCACCGTTGCTCCGCCGTCGTTTTTCGCTTTATATACCGTGGAGAATATGCCTTCTTGGTGGTATATGGCGTTCTCATAGCGGCCGATTCTTTTCCCGCAGGAGGCAGGAGCTGCGTCTGTATTAGACCCTTCATTGACAATGACACCTTCATTTCCATTTCCATTGTCAATGACGTCAGGCACACTCATAACGAGAGCTGGCTGCTCTCGATCATCCAGGTCGTCGATGGCCTTTTGGCATTCGGATTGGTATTGCTCCTATGGAGAGAATATTCTTTTTAACCTTTTCCTACCCGTACCACACATAAAGTTTCACGCGAATCAGGAAAAAAAAAAACGTACTTTACTTGCCGCCTGGCTGAACGCGCTATTTTCTAACTTCGTTGCCTCCGTGTGAGCTTCTGAGAAATTGGCGGATGGAACCGCACGCTGGTACGCCGCGATTCTTTGTAGTAGAGGGGTTGGAATGGTGAGCCCAGCTGCTACCCCGCGTGAAGGGATCCTGACTGAGAGCCCAAGCAAGCACTTACATTAGCCTTACATTGGCCAAGCGATCTGTAAACCCGACATCTAACATCCAATCAGAATCGGATGTCATTTTCTATCCATGGATTTTTCCGCTCTGCAGTCTTGCTTTGGGAGTGTGATATGTGAGTGTGGAAGGTAGCTAGCTAGCTGCTAAAGTTTACGCTGGCAGGGCCGGTGTCACATAGGTTAGCTTACTTCGAAGTAGCTCGTCATAAAAAGTATATTCCATAAAATCATAAGCTTGTTCTTCAACGAGCATTTAAGCAGTATTTTGATAGCACAATCATAATCTGAGGGAGGCCGAGCTTTGTCTAACTAGCTCCGTCTCAGCTGTTTCTTTCCATGTTCTCAAGCTAAATATAAAATTATAAGGTAGGATGGATTATCTCAGCATGCTCAGCCTCTCTTCTCGATATTTTCGGATTAGCGCGATGAACTAAACTCCTTTAGACTTCTGCCAAGTCCTGCTAACTTCTGGATTAATAAGAGACTTCACACATTATTATTATTATTATTATTCTTCAATTATAGATGTATACAGTCAGAGACTATGACATCTACCTGAGAACCTTTAGATCTCAGGGTTTTTTCTATATCTATAGAGTCAACTATTATACATTTATCAATTTCAGATATATAAAATCAGAAAATTTCAGCTCAGAATATAAAAACTGTTTATAAATTACAGTATTTTAACATCTTCTGATACTTTGAAATCATTTGAAAATATCATGATAAAGAAAAAGAGAATATAGTCTTAAAGATAGATACATTAAATAGATAGATAGAAAGAAACAGAAAGAAATAAGTATAGTAAAGAGAGACTATAACAAAATAAAATTATTAAAAGATAGTATATAGCTGTTTTAACAGACTATATCTAATCAATTTCTGTCTCTTCATATTCAGATACTTCTGAATTCAATTATTTTCTTATAGCTGCTTGAGTTTCTGATAGAAAGTCTATTAAGTATTTAATTTCTGTCTCAGTTAAGAATAAGAATTTCATATTTAATTGATTTAAATTATACTTCTTCTTTAATCTGACTCTGAGACTATTATATAATACACAATGTATTACAATATACTCAGGATTTTCATTTGTATTGCAGAATGAGTACTCTGTTAAATCAAATCTATTATCAAATCTTTGTACATAGAATTTGAAATAATCATATTCTAGTTTTAGCTGAATTATAGATGAGAATATTTTCTTTTTACATTTAATTGAATAAGATTTTCACTTTGATTTTATCTCAAATCTTGAATAATGTATGCTCTTCTTTTGTTTCTATCAGCTTTTATTTTACTTATTTAAACAAGATTCTTCTATCTTTCTCTTTATGAAAGATCAGAATACTGCTTTTTAAATAGATCTGCTTAATTCTGAACTCTTTTTTACAGCTGAATCAGTCAATTCATTATCATGAATATTCATATAAGCAGGAACTTAATACAGATGAATTATCAGTTTTAATATTCTTCTCTTTTGAATTTTTAAACCAGAGTTTAAAATCAGTTTAAGATTTATTTGATCATTATGAATCTGACTATTTCTAAGTCTTTTTAAAGCAGCTTGACTATCAGAGAATATTTATATCTCTTTTAAACTATTTTCTCTTTTATAAGATTTTATTTCAATGAGTTTGAAAGCTTTTACTATTATAAATAGTTCAGCATCAAAGACTTCAGATTCACAGCCTAAATTTCAGAAATCTGAGATAAAATTGATATTATCTTCAGTATAAGCAATGTCTGTATCTAATCTATTCAAATTCTCATTTTTTGAGTCATCTGAGTAAATCAGAATAGAGTCTTTTATATTGATTATAGAGATCTTCTTCAAATACTGTTTATATTCTCTCTCTTTAGATAGTTCACTTACTTGTAAGTCTATGAGAGATTTCAGCTTTTCTCTTCAGAGAGATATCTTCTTATGATTAATTTCTCAACATTTAATGAACAAAATTGATTTTTAATAAGTGAATATAGTCTATACAGTTGAGAGAGCATTTTCTTCAAAGTATTATTCTCATTTCAATCAAGAAATCTATTTCAATTCAGTTCATTTCCTGAGTTAACTGATAGAAATGAAGAAGAGACTCTTTCTCTGATTATATAATTTGAGCTCATCTTCATGACTCTCAGAGTATAGTTTATACAGGTCTTTTCAAATCAAATAGTAGGAGATGAAATTGAAGCTTCAATTTTCATTACTTTAATAGAAGATGATTTGAATACTCTCAGAATTCTTCTCAAAGCTCTGTTTTATAGACTTTGAAAGACTTCAGTAAAGTTATCTTGTTTATTTCATCAAACTTGAACTTCATAATCAGCTACTGAGATAATACAGACTATGTATAATTATCTTATAGTCTGAAAGAATAGATCTCTCTCAGTATTTGATAGTCTGATTATACTATTCAGTAGTCTCTCTGCCTTGATGATTCTTTGTTAAATATGATATTTAAAATTCAACTTGAAGTTTAATCATACTTCTAGCTATTTGACATTCAAACTGAGTTTAATCTCTTTATTCAAAAGAGTTAGACTTAGTTCTTTCTTATTAAACCTGGAAAAAAAGTGAATTAACTCAGTTTTATTCATATCAAATTGAATTAGATTAATATCTGCTCTAACAAAGATTTTCTTTACTGCTTTCACAATCACTTCTAAATTCTCTTTGATTGTCTTTGAACTGTAGAGTAGATCAATATCATCTACATAACTTGAAGATCTTACTATTTTCATCTCTCTATTCTTGAATAGATATGCAGTGTATATTGCAAATAAAACAGGTGAGATTGAAGATTCTTGTAATACTTCTATTTTTATCTCAGTTGTATCTTGTTTTCTTCCATCAAAGAATAATTAACTCATTTTATTAGAGAAAGTGACAGTTTTAACATCTTCAAAGTTTGAATCATCTTAGACTTTGAAACATGATCAAATGCATCTTTTATATCAATAAAAACTGCAGTTGAGACCAGGTCTTCATACTTTGCTACTTGAACATCATAAATAACTGAAACAACAGTGTTAATTGCAGAACATTGTTTTCTACCTTTCATTTGTTCATTAAATAGAAGAGAATTACTAATAGAGCTTATAAAAAATAATCTAGTAGCTATTATCTTTTCTAGAATTTTTCTTAAACAGTTCAACAGAGATATTACTCTATATAACTTAGAAATTAAAGCTTTTCTATTACATTTTACAAGGATTACTTCAGTAGCTTCTCTCCAGCATTCAGAATGATAATCATTTTTTAAGAGATTGAAAAAGAGCTCAAAATATTCATTCTTCAAGTAGAAATATGTGTTTTGAATAATCAAGTGATTAATTAAATCAGGTCCTGCAGCAGTTTTAATTGAACTTGAGAATATTACTGACTCTAGTTCATCACATATAAGCTCAGGCCATTCTCAGTTATTTTCATCAATATATTCATGAAATGACATATTCTTCTCTTCTAAATGTGATGAGTTTTGAAAGACAATTCTTATAAAAGCTTGACATTTTTCCTCAAAAGAGTTTGCTGTATACAATTCATTCTGAAACTCATATTCTAAGATTGGAAGCTTTACTACACTTCTTGTTTTAGTATAGTTAGAGGCTTTAAAAACTTCTTTTTCTTATACTTCTTCAAGAAATTTGTTTCAGCAATCTGTTTTAGCTCTTTTAATATCTGAAAAATATTCATTTTGAATAACTTTGAACTCTTTATCAGATATTAAGTTATTCTTTCAATCTCTCTTAGCAGTGGCTAATTACTTTCTTTTAGAAGTGATATTCTCATTTCATTAAGGTTTGTAATACTCAGAAGACTTTTTCTTTGAAATATTTTCTTTAATACTTGTTAGAAGAATAGATGTAATCAGCTTTACTCTATTTTCAAGTATTTTATTTGAAATATTTTGACTTTGATTTCAATAGAGCTTACTCTGTCTTTCAGATTTCAGCTGTTTTACTCTTTCTTCAACTGCTTTTCAATCAGCTTTTTCAAAGTTATACTGATTAGAGAGAAGAGGATTTTCACTTCTTTATTTTTCACTCAGTTCAATATCAAATTGAATGATCTTATAACTCAATTCTGAGATTTCATTTGAATCAATAAATCAGTTTATAAGTCTTTTTTCAATTAGATTTTATGATATAAAAGTTAGATCTATAATAAATTTCTTTTTCATGTCTTTTCTAAAGAATGTTTGTTAATCAGACTTGTTAACTAAATCTATTGAATGCTTAAAAGTTTATTCAATCAGTTTATCTGCTCTTACTGCTCTTGTGTACTCTGAGTTTCATCAGAGATGATGTGTATTGAAGTCTTCTGTAATTATAGAGTTTTTTAAGAGAGTTATATTCAAAAATTCTCTATTAATTATTCAGATATTGTTGTTTTCTTTCAATGACTTTTTATTATAGATATTTATAAGTTGAATAGTATCAAACTCATTCTCTTTATCTATAATATCACTCACCAGAATATCAGAGTCAGATATGATATCAAATCTCAAATTAAATTAATATCTTGATCTTTTTCTCTTATAGATCACTACTCTTAATTTTATCTCAGATTTTTCAGAAAGAAAGTAGTAATAGCTTGAATAAGAAATGATGTACTTTTACTCAGTATTAAAGTTTGATTCTTGAAGAAGTACAAAGTCAACTTTTTATTCAAATACAATCTGAAGATAAGAATAAATACAATTTGAGTTTCTATTCACATTACTTTGAATAAATGTGATTTTTGAAGAGTTTTTAAACTTTTTTTGTTGTTTTTGTTGTATATTCATACTAAAAGAGAGTAGAGATAGAGTAGAATCTAATCACTATTATCAGATAGTAGATTATAACTATTTTAAAAAGTAGAAATCTCAACTGCTTCTATTCTATCTAGTTTATTATTAGAGTCATTTCTCAATTCTCTAATCTTAACAGAAGTTTGAGAATTCAAATTCTATTTACACTTAGCTGAAGAATTGAAGTTTGAAGATCTAGATAGTTGAGAATTTCTTCTTTTTAAGCTTTCAGTTGTAGATTTACTAGCTTGACTTTTCTCTTCAGTTTTAGATTCACTTTAAGCTTCATGTTTTCTTTAGTTCTTCTGAGTTCTTGAAGTAAATACACATTCTTTTGAGCTAGATGCATGTTTTTCTTTGCAATTGCAGCACTTAAGCAGAGTATGTTAATATATTTCATCTCTTTTTAAGCATATTTCATATTTATGCTCACTAGTTTTGTGATCTCTAGCACAGAATATGCATTTTGAGTCTCTGAAACAAGAGATTACAAAGTATTCATATCTTTGACAGTTTGAACACTGTGTTTGAGCTTTGAGATTCATTCTTGA